CCTTTGGCACACGGGCAGTTTGGATGGCTGGGGTGGGATGTGAGTGATGTGCGCAGTTGGGAAATAAAACAACAGCAGACTCTGTCCGTGGAGCTCGTCTCGTGTTGCAGGTGCGGTTCTGAGGGCATTTTCATAAAAGCACATAACAGACCTGTGCTGGATGGAGCACAGCTTTCACCATGTGCCTTTTACAGAGGAGGGGGCTGAGCCACAGAAAGGTGAATTCATGTCCCAAAGGTCACACGGCGAGCCAATGGCAGAGTCAAGTCTGAGCTCTCATAGGCTGAGCCCACCCGGTAATCCCTGTCGTATCGAATATCGGGCTTAATCGGTGAGGACTGGCCAGCTGGGGGTGAAATAAAAAATGAAGATGAGCACAGGATGACAATTGTGCTAGCAATGAGCATTTGTTGAGCCCCTACTGTATGCTAAGGACTGAGTCAGTGACTTTAATGGTAGACTCTCCCAGAGATGAGATGTCTTTTGTTTCCTTCCTCTTCTTGATTCCCCGCATCCAATTCATCAGGAAGTCTTATTAAATCTACCGCCCAGTTACTGGCACATCCCCTGTCTCCATCCCTACTAGGAGGTGGCAGGTCCAGGTCATTCCACGGATGAGGAGCTCGCCCAACTATATGCATCATTATGAGGCTACACAAAACCTTTCATATTGTAGGAGCTCAACAAATGTACGTGGGATGAATCGATAACGTGCCCAGTATCATCATCACCCCTGCCTGTGAGGGTGGTCCTGTTGTCTGCATTTTGCCACGAAGAGCTGAGATTTAGGATGGAAAAGTGACCTGCACAGGTCACCCGGAGATGACAAGGCAGAGCAGCTGGGGCAGACATTTGACCCTTTGGTGCAGTCCTGCCATATTGAAGGGGGATTTTCCACCTTGTGAATCCTTGGGAGGCAGAGACAGACCCACCCCACCAATGTGGAAGCCACCAAGTTCAATGTTACCATCCCCAGCCTGCCTTAGAAGCTATCGGGCACATGACCCGATCTTGACAGCCCTAGACTTGGAATCGGTTGTCAGAGAAGCCATGAAGTGGCAAGAGTGACACCCGGGGCCCAGGGTGTCAGTGCTGGAGCCCGGGGTCTGGGGGAGGGGGGCGGCGTGGAAGGCAAGCCTGCGTCCCGTGGCTGTGTGAGGACAGTGGCCATGATCCTGTGAGGCCCCAGTACCCTTTCGGTAAATTTTTCTCTCCACTTAAATCTTCCAGAGTCGATTTGTCTCACTTGCAACCCAGAGTACTGCCTATGAAAGCTCAGATTAAAAGTCCTATCTCATCCACAGGGCCCCAAATCGTATCCCATGTCTCTGTTATCTCTCTGGGCTGCCGGGAGGGTCCAGACTCTCCCGTTCCAATGCAGGCCCTCCCATTGACCTCTGCCGGCTTCGTGGCCTCCTTGCTTTGAGCCTTGCAGACCCCTCAGCCTGTTCTCTCTATGCAGAGAACACCAGGGGCATCTTCTGGGAGGGGGCACTTTCCCATGGGCCCCTGGGAGAAGAAGCATCCAGAACCTTGCTCCCCCATGTGCTCCAACAGCAGAACAAGGCTGCAGGTAGGTGGGGGCTGGATCCACCTCTGCCTTCGTGGCCGTCCTTTGCCGAACACTCGAGCCACCAGACACGGACAGGCTCGGTGACTGAGTCATTTAGGCTCTTCTGCCCAGTGCCGGTGGGAGCGGCCAGGGGCTCCCTCTTGGGTGAGGCCAAGTAATGGGAACAGTTCACCTGCCCTGCTGACTCCCTCTCCCCCCGCATGATGCTCCCCGGGACCAGCTCCCAGCCCGCCGTTGCGACCTTGTTTCTCTGGACATTCTAATACAAGCTGAAATGAATATTAGCTGTAATTACTCATTCCACATGATTCTGTAGGCCGCTCTTTGTACCAGAGTTGAGAACCTTCATTGTCCACGTTGCTTAAATTACTGAACATTGTGCCATCCATTCTGAATTAGTGCTCATTAATGAGCTGGTGGTTCTAGAAACTCCCTATTTATTATTCAGAGGCCAAGTAATCTGGGCAGCTGCATTGCAATACCACTCATGTGACTTTTGATCTGTCATGGAAAGAAATGGAAAAAGAAAAGTCCACATTTATTAACTTAAAAAATTTTTTTTTTCCGGACCAAAGGTGTGCTGGACCCAAAAACAGTCATTTAGTCTCTAGCCTACCAATGACGCTTTTGTGAAACCAAATAGATACGACGAAGCAGGAGTCTCCCCCGTTTTGTTTCAGTGAGTTTGATGCTTCAAATCGTGAGAGAGAGAGAGAGACATAACAAAAAAAGGGGGGGGGAGGTAAACCAGAATTAATGGTGACAGAAGCCATGCAAATAATCACACACCAAAAGAGAAGTCAGAGTTAGATTTTTTTTTTTTTTAAAAGGACTTTGGAATGGGAAAATTAAACGCACGCGAAAGTCAACGTCTCCTCCTGGCGTGTTATTACACGGTGATATCGCACAGTAAGACGATCCAGGATCGCCCGGTGTCCCAAGTGGTGCCACTGTGCATATGAACTGGTGTGACAATATCAGCATCTCTCAATGGAGGCAGAGCTTGCATGGAAGGGGGAGGGAGAGACTTCCCAGGCTGACATTATAATGTCTCTGCAAGGACATCCTGCCAGGGTGCGGCGGGTCACAACCAAATGGATTGCTCCCCCGTGGGCCGGACTCTAGTCACATTGTCAGGTAAACACAGAAATATTCTGTCTTCGCCTGCCAAGCCTTGTCAAGTATCTGTATTTGTTATTGCAACTTGGGTCCCACAAGGTTCCCACCCATATTTCTTTATAGGGGAAATGTAAACCATATGCTTTTGCTTTATTTCCACTGAACGTATCCAAATGATGGTGGAGGCCAGACATATTCTTTTGCAATGAGTCTTTTGAGCCGAGCGCATCAGCACCCTTAACGTCCTCCCTCCCCACCCCCCCCCACCCCCAATGTTGTCATGACTCAAGTGGATTTGACTTTCTGGTAGAAATACAGGAGTCTTTGTTGGATCCTGAACATGAAGAATTGAATGCTGGCCATCCTAACCGGCCTTTGTTTTGTTTTTGGTTTTGTTGTAATAAAAACACTGGCTTGTGAATAACCTCGGGGTCTAATAACCGATTTTAACGCCCTTTTCTCTGGGTGTGCCTCAGGATCCTTCTCAACACAGCGCTCCTGACAGTCTGTATGAATCTGTAGGCATCGGCATTCACCATGCCAATGGGAGGCACATTTTTAAAGGCTGCTGCTGGGTTTGGCCCAAACCCTTTGGGGGAGGGCACGTGTCTGTAGGCACCAGAAGTCCGGAGAAAGAAGAGGGAGCCAGCTCCTGGTGTAAAGGCCCGTTAGAGCCCGGCCCCAGCAGGGAGCATTCTTCAAGAGTGGCAGCCGGGGTAATGTTGAGAGCCCATGCTTCCCAAATTGCACACGCTTTGAAGACGTAAGCAGCGCCTTTAACTCCCCGCTGTAATCCCACGCCAGGCTCTGAAGCTATCTTAAGCCGCGCTATTTATCCGCCTGGTGAGGCACAACACTTACTTATTAAAAACATATCTATCATGGTTAATGACTTGATTTTTTCCCTTTAATACAGCACAATGACAGGTGTAAAGGGAAATTGAGAGTCAGATGCTTCTGCAATATGCTTCCTGCTTTAAGATGTC